AGGATGCCACAGACAGAGGCCTGAAGTGGGGATACTGGACCTCAAACCAGGGCTGGCCTGAAACCCTTGGAAGGGCCTGCTGATAGAGACAGAGGTGCGCTGGGCCCTTGGCAGGGTGGGGTGGGCTCTGAAAGCCAGCACGACAAGACCAGCCCAGACCTGACCCCTCCATGGCCTACCATCCCAGCCACAGCCTTGACCTTCTCCCTCCCCCGCACCTCAGATGCCCACACACCCTGTGCACTACGCTGTGCCCTCCCACCCAGGGCAGCAGCCCCCTGCAGGGAGGGCCCAGGCTAAAATCCCACCCATTCTGTCTCCTCTCCTTCCATTAGAATCCCACCTGTTTTGAGAAGTTAGCTGGGCCTGTGTTAAGGAAGCACCTGATAACCAAGGTGAGGGTGGTGGCGCTGGTCCCATGTCCTGTCTCACTTTTAGATGAAGAGTTTCTTCATCCTCAAAAAAAATGACTTGGAAGAGAGCCCTTTAATAGACTTCTCAGCCAGGGGTGGAGGGCTTGTAAGGACATTTCCAGATCCTTGAAAACAGAACTTCCAACGTTTAACCCTGGAGAGAGTGGGAGCCCGGGCCCCAACTCCTTACCCTGCCCAAGCCTCTTCTCTGAACTGGAGGCCTCTGAGCCTGACTCTGTGCACCCTAACGCTGGCCCACAAGCCATGGCTCCCTTCTGATGTCCCCTGAGGCCGCTGGCATTGGCAAGGGCTCCCTCAGCACCTCCTGGCGGGTGGGGGGGGTTCCCGCTTTCCCTACTTACTCCAGCCTTGGTTAGGGGGCCCACTTCCCAGCTCCTGCCAGGCCTCTCCACCCATTTGTGGTCAAGGCAAGAGAGACCACACCCCCTTGGATGTCCAGGCACTGAGTCCCTGCCGGCTACTCATATGGATGGGCCCTCCCCAGCTGCTCCTCACCACAGCTGCGTCCGGGTCCACACCACAACCACAGCATTGTTGGAAAGCAACTGCACACCTCCCTGCAACTTCCCCTCGCATCCCCCAGACTGAGTCATGCAGGCGGTGCCCGTGAGCAGGCCTGGCCAGGGTTGGCACCAGCTGGCCAGAGAGAATGAGAGGCACTGACCACACCCAGGAACCTCCCCAAAGTCCATGCATAGG